CTTTCACTCCGCATTTTTGGAAGGAGGTGCGAGGAGGCAGGAGCAAGCCTGGGGTTCCTGCCACCTTCCTTTGACCAGGCCAGAACTTAGGCCACAGCAGAGCAAAGGCAGCTGGCCTGGGGTTGGACTAACTTTTTGGGGGCTAATAGGCCACTGGTCTGGGGAGACAGTGTGAGCCAGCGGGGAAGGTGGGGAACTTACAAATCACACTACTCTCAGACCACTTTCCCCCTGAATCTGCAAGAATAAACTGTAGAGGCCAAGCTCCACCCAGCCTCTCCCCAAATCCATCTCAGCCCAGGTCCCAGAGCCAACACCAGGGCCCTCTAAGTCAGTTCTCCTGGGTGCAAGGTGCAAAGCGGTCCAGTTTGGTGCCAGGGGAAATTCTGGGTCCTACTGATGCTCCTGGGGGCTGCTGGCCCAGAATTTCAGGGAAATCCAGGTTGACAATGAGCCTCACACACTAAAACAATTAGTTAGATAGATTCCCTGTTGGCGCAAAGGGCTTGCGAGCCATATGTTCTGGGCACAGAGGTTGCTGCAAAGCTTCTTCCCTCAGAATTCCCCTAGAAACATACAGAGTAAGAGAAGTCTAGAGAATTCCTTCCCAAGCAAGTGGGAGCCATATGAAGGGAGAGGTCCCAAGGCCCAGCTGGTGAGTATGGGTGTTAGAGCAGGAGCTGAGAGTAAGGGGCTATTTCCTAATGGCAGAAAAACATCTGCTGAGCCTAGAGCTGCCCAGAGTGAGGTGCAGGTGATTTCAGAGAGAGATCAATTTTGTCCCTCTGGGAACCAAATGGCCCAGCCCTTGAATAAAGCTGGAGATTGAACTGTTTGGAGAATTAGGGAAAGATACAAGACAATTGAAACTTAGATACTTATTAATAGAAACACTCAGTTTCCCCATAGTCACTGGTCTTCCCTTCTTGAGAGCCCTGCCCTGTTTTGCATTCTCCCGAAAACCTCCTTGTCTCCAGGACCTTCAAATCCTTCCAGATCTGTAAAGTAGAGATAATAACAGCACCTACATCAAAAGATTATGATGAAGATTAATGGGAAACACTACCCCTAAACACTGATCTCAGGCAACTTTCTCCCCTGAACCTGCAAGTGCAAACTGCAGAGGCCAAGCTCCACCCACCCTCTCCCCAGGTCCAGCCCAGCCCAGATCCCAGAGCCAACACCAGGGCACTCCATGTGAGTCCGTAGCCTGGTCTTTCCTTCATACCCACCAGCTGTTAGGACACTGTCAATACTGGCTGCTCCAAGTGACCTGGAAGGATCAGCCACACGGGATGAGCTGGGAGCCAACAAGAGACCCACACCCAGAGACTGGCAGGCAGAACTGTCTCTTGCTGACTTTGCTTCAGCCTAGCTCAGTTCCTGTGTATGAGGCTGGCTGGGAAAAGGGCAGGACAAGCTCTGGGTAGTGGCAGAGGTGGCAGATGTCATCACCTCCCACAGCCAGGCTGCCCCAGTTGAGTTTGATCCAAGACCCAAGCAAGTGCCCCCAAGGGGACCCCTCTGAATGCCACGGTCCCTTCCTCTAACATGGCTTCCTGGCTCAGAGCCAGCCAGCACTGCCATCCTCTGCCAGCACCCAAAATATATCTCATCCTTATGACCTGGAGCCCTGTAGAAAGTAATGAAGATGGATTTTTACAATTTCATGGAGAGATCAATTTTGTCCCTCCGAGAACAAAATGGCCTAGCCGTTGAATAAAGCTGGAGATTGAACTGTTTGGAGAATTAGGGAAAGGATATAAGACGATTGAAACCTAGATAGTTATTAATAGAAACACTCAAGTTTTCTATAGAATTTATCCAAGTGTCTAAGATCATTTTTCCTTAGGGGATGGTTTGAAGACAACTCCTATCAGTTACCTGGGAATCAATGATTAAAAGTGCGGAAACCCAGGTCCTGCCTGGCCCTGCTGAAATTGATCTCTGAGGAGGGGATGCTGGAATCTGCATTTTAAACAACTTTCCATGGTGGCTTCTGTGAATAGTAATTTAAGAGCCAATGGCTCCCTTTCAGACACATGAGACCCTAAATATGTCTCGGACCTCTTTTTCCCATGCCGCTCCCAGTCCAGAGGATAGGAACTGACCCAAGGGATTCCTGGCACCTGGTAAAATATCCTCATTAAACTCAGGCAAGTTAGTTTATCCTGTATCTGGGCTAAATTCTAACAATGCACAGACTTTGGTTCCTCCAAGGGTCACATTGCAGCCATGGGAAGGCCGCATCTACCTGCACCCAAGCATGTAAAAGGGTGACAACCAGGACATGAACCTGGCCCCATTCTTTCCATCTTTTCTAGAAAGAAAGGCACCATGAAAAAGAAAACGAATCTCACAGACACAAGGAGAGAGTTTTATTGCTCATGGGGACAGGAGGCTGAGCTGAGTCCTAGAAGAGATACAGTTGGTCTGAGATGGCTCAAATCCATTTTCCCTCCTGCCCAAGCCTGCTTTCTAAGTGAAAACAGGCAGGTGATTGGTGAGCCATCTCTGAGAGGTGAGCTTACCACGAGACAAACCCTAAATACCACGGCACACGTGCAAATGGACGTTCCCTTTGGAGGTCCCTCCACTGCAAAATCCCCTCCCTCAGAAAGGTGCCATATAAAAAGCCGGAATTGTTGCAGGGTGACTTAAAAAGGCAAATTCTGATTGTGTAGGACTAGGAACTCAGTCCTATATGTGGATTTAGGAATTTGAAAACCCCTCCTTTATGGCCTTCTTGAAAAGTTTCCACCCAGTCCAATAGCTCACCAGAGTTTGGGCCTTAAAGGTCAAGTCTCACCCTGGAGTGAAGTCAAGCAAGTAGTTTAGTTTGACTCAGATGCTGAAAATCTTGGTGTTTCTATGTGTTATACCTGAGAAAACAATGTTACCTTTGATAAATTAAATTAAAACAAAATGAGGTAGATAATTCAATTCGGAGTAATAAAACCAGGGGGCAAATTTGATAGACTGTATAGCGATGAAAATAAACATTTATCTAAAGGTGATGACAGCAGAGTTGGCTAACGCTGGTTGCTAATAAAGTAATTTTCTTCTCACTTTCCCTTGGGATTTAATTCATGTATCCAAATATAATGAAAATGCCCAATGAATCGACTTTTCTGGAGTTTTTGTCTACATGATGCCGGTACGATTGGTTTTAGAGGTATAGTGAAGATTATGAAAAGCATATTTTCAAGATATGCAGTGTCGTGGGTGACAGATCTTGCTTCTTGGCTAAAGAAGAGGTAAAAGAGATCTAGTTGCTACTGGGAGGACACCATGTTGCCTACACAGTACAGAGAAAGCAGAAAGAGCGTGTGCCACAGTTATTCTCCCAAAGTGATATTGATGAAAATGTATTTTGCTGCTGGAATTTGACTGTCGACTGACCTCATGCACTGGGCCACTTTTGCCCAACTTTGAAAGTGTTTGTGTGAGAAGGGAGCTACTCTCCTCCCATTCAGCTGTGCATCCTGTCTCGGCTTCTGCTGGTTTTCAATCCCAGTGGTCCTTCTGGGGTTGGGATGATGGAGGGTACACAGCTGCTTGCCACCAGGAAGCAAATGTCTGTAGCTACTGGAATATGAGCAGCCAAAGGAGCTCTGAACCAGAGCAATTTTGTTTCAGTGACAAACAGTCATGTCTGGCAGTGGTGTGCTAGTAGATGTTTCACGATCAGCTCTCTGTGGGGCACAAAGCCTGATTTACAGCATTTGCTGATTTTCATGGTATAAACACTCCCACCGTGGTTGATTTCCAGCTACCAACATGACGCCCCAGATCATGAAATTGGGAAGGATAGTGCCCCATTGGCTTCCTCTAGCAGGTATGGGCCCATCTCTGACAGCAACTGCATGATGCCAAAGCCTCCTTGGAAGCCACACCTGTCTCCATTCTAGTCTCCAAGGAAACTTTGAAACTAGAAAAGACTAAGCCAGGTCAATTGTTTTCTAACTGAGGAGCTAAGAGTTAATAAGACATCTTTTCAAATAAATATGCAGATACTTGTCTGCCTTTAAAAATTGGGACTGCCTAGAAGTAAAAACCAATAAACTGTTTTCACTTCCTTCCTGTTGGACCACATCCTTCCTTCTACACCTCCAAAGTTAGGATGTAAAGAGCTGGA